CCCCCCCCCCCCCCCCACCGGGCGAGGAGAAGCCCCCCATCGGCGAAATCCTGGCTACGCCACTGCCTGGGATTCCCCAAGGCGTCTTAAAGGTTTGCAGATGAATTCCGTTGTTGTTGCCGGCTGGTACGCGCTGAAACAAAATTTGAAATGACTTTTCCGTGACAACCCAACATTGCCCTTGTTTTTGTACGAACCAATAAAGTTAAGATCAGGTGTGAAAACGACATTTTAAAGGCTTTTCCCTACGGGACTCATAAACGTTAGGCCTAGGAGTAACCCACGGACCGTCTTCGGGTCAGGCCTAGGCCTACCTTTTTTCCTTCAAAAGAATCTCAACCTCTTGTCAATTAGGCATATAAGGATTAATCTCGGAGTTTTCGAAGCATCTTGTTGAGGATGAGTAACAATAGAGATTCTCACAGTTACAACATCTAGAGTTTCTCGAACCACCTCGACGAAGTCTGCCGTCAGAATGCCTCCGATGATGCAAATGAGTGTCGGACGCCATCAACAACAGGGATGCCCGATCAGTGATGCCCGATCAGTGATGTCCGATCAGGGATGCCCGATCAGTGATGTCCGATCAGTGATGCCCGATCAGGGCAGGTCCGTGCCTTGCCCCATCCATCGGCCGCCATTAGTCACGGTTGCAGTCTCGCTCCAGGTAACGCATCCATGTGGAAACAACTTTGAAACAACGTTTCACGTCCACATGTCGAATGTTGAAACGACATCGAAATGCCACATTGAGTCGACGCGAAGATGCCACTTTCTTCAGCATTGCTTCCACATTCCCTGTTAATGTTGCAACAATATTGATGTTGACGCTCATTCAGTATCATTTCACGTTGCATCAACGTGCATTCGACGTTCCTCGATCAATCTCCGATTCTTGCGTTCCTCCCAGGAGCAAAGTAGAGGTGAATTCAACACGATGAACCGCACGACCTATGGATAATGAACTTCACAAACCAAGGAGGGCAAATCCTCTTCAGTCCCTAAAGGTCAGTACCCAGAAGGTGGAGTACTGAAAAGGTTGAAAGGTCGTGCCTTCTTCCTCGGACAACACACAGCATCGACGCAATAGACACCAGAACATTGAGCGCCTGTACGAGTTGCAAAACGAGATGAAAACCTCTCAGCCTCCCTATTTTACTAGACGTGAATGGATGACCTCGAGTTCAAATTTTGTGTCATCTAATCACAAAGGCATCTATATGCCCATTCTAAACCTGGATATTTAACTTGTTTCAGAATCAGATGCTGTAATCAAAACATCATAATTCCACATTTCTCTAATTCGTTAATTCATTAATTACATAATATAAAGAGGAATGGGGGAAGAAATCGCTTTAGTGCAAGATGACAGATCCGCAATTGCATTTGGAGGCTAACGGGGAACACAGACGCCATCTTGTGAGGGCTCTCGGTACTTCATCATGATTGCGCCAATGCTACACCACCCTGGTTTTAACCGAATCGACATCGATTCGATGTTCACCTTCAATCCTCAACGGTTTCACACTAGGTCCGCATTCGATCAATGCTTTTAAATGTTCGAATTATCCAGTAAATGTTTTTAAACACCCAATGTTGCTTGTCGCATGCGAACAGTCTACGGGATACAGAAACATTGTTTCAACGCTGAGTAAATGGTCCACGTATTTGTTTCCAAACTATAAAAAAAATCAATTGTTCGATATCTAACGGTACGCGTCATGCGACTCAAAAATTGAGGAATCGCATTTTTTTTTCGACATTGAAGCCATGTTGTGGCGGGTTGACAGCGCTCCGAGAAACTGCAGGAGAGGTCCAACTTTTCATCCTTTTAAGAGGGGTTGACAATGATGCCACACCTGAGAAATGTCGTCCGAATATTCTCGGCTGGGAATCCAGAACGTGACGTCACAACATCCAATCAGCATCGAAGCGATGTTCACGTTCAACCCTGAATGTTCGCACGCTCAATCGACATCGATGTTGATTCCATGTTCTGCGTTACCTGGGACGTTATCCCATGAACTCGACACGAAGAATACGTTTCTTGTAATTTTGAAAAAGTGAATAATTTTTTTTCTCGTTTTTTTCAACATTTTGTCACGGAGCAGCAACCACGGCACGAGAGGAGTGGCGACAAGCAGCTCTCTGTGGGTCGCTCGAGGAGGCTTAGGTACGGCCACGTGCCGTCAGGCGTCACTCGTCACTTTAGACCCTTTACCTCGACCGATGAGCAGTCTGCAATCCGACTCTCCCGATCCCAATTCTTTGCCTGTCCTATCCACACCCTCGTCCGTCAAGGGGCAACAGGGAACACGACCCTAAGTTCTTGGATTCACCGAGCCCGTCCGCATGAATCATGTAAAACGAAGGACTGGGCCCTGGGAGGGAGCGCACAGATGGAGTGAGGGTCTCCCCTCTGCTTGCCAAGGAGATCTCAAATAACACCCTGCTTCAGCTCTTCTCACCAGGGCGCCTGATAAGGCCCTTCCGGCCAGCTGGCACCTGGAGACACCTATTCAGGTCCACCACTGACAGCGGGGCCCACCATACCATTAGCTCCTTATATTATTTATAATAAAAAATTGCCAAGGAGAGAGAAAGAGCTGACAAGTTAATTATATACCTGTAGACCTAACCCAAAGTTAGTGCTGTTTTCTGTTCCCTGTCCTACTTCCTCTCCGGATTAGACATTCCCGGGTCTCCGTTCCGACGTCCCTCCAGGATTAGACACTCCGTTCCTCTGCTCCTCCGCGCTCCCTCATCCCATCCTGAATTCCCATGACAGCTTTTTAGTTCTCGTTTGCACTGTCTGGTGCCTGAGCCAGCAAACAATGAGTCCTTTACTCCCCAATCCTGATTACAGTTTGAAGACGTGGATCACCAGCCCAGAGATCCAGTGACGCCAGGACCAGCCTCCGTCCCCCCCCCCCCCCCCCCCCCCCCCCCCCCCCCCCCCCCCCCNCGGGACCCCCCTCCGTCCCCCCCCCCCCCCTCCCCTTTGTGTCATAACTTTGTACAGAGAGACAGAGAGAGATAATTAACCAGTCTTTTACAACCCAGAGAAAACCTGTGTTGTGACTCCCACCACCGGAAGAGGAAAAGGTGTCCGCGGACGGGTCAAGAACGTAACAATATGATGTATTGTTTTGTCTTCCGTTTTCATACCCAGGCATCGACAAGAACACAGTCATGAATCAGACTTGATTTAAGTAAGACTTAACGTCGGACATAGGTGATGTTGAGACAAAGTTCAGATGAACTTCTGGATCAATAAACATTCCTGAAATTTGTTTCATGCAGGTTTCAACTCACGAAGTGCAGAGAAGCGAGAAATTAAAAAACTCCTCGGCCTTGACAGGTTGTTTTGAGACAAGACAATAATGAAATGGATTTGTCTGTGGTATTTTCACAATTGAATAAATGTTAGCCAGCTACAAGCATTTCCTCGTAAGAATCACCCAGTGCATTCATGCCGAGGAATCACTCTCGAAGCATAATTCATGATTTTAATTTTGTGGAGGGTTGCAAATAGTTCCTGCACCAGGTGCTACGATGCACCTAATGACATTCTTGCATTAAATCATAAAAATGCATGTGCAGAACCCAATTGCAAAATGAACTCACTACAGTAGTGCACATTGGTATTTAAAAACTCTGTTGCATAGGTTACAGGACATTCTATGAATACATCTGAGAAAAATTTTCCCCATCCTCATTAGACTCTTTAATTTCAATTGTCCACTCAAAAAAGGAATTGTTTCATACAAGTTCAGTGCAATATCACATGATTAACACCTTTGCTATCCTTCCAGTGGTCTTATGATTGCACTGTGACAATTAAACTGCCCTAAGCACCAGACCTTGATCGGTTCCAGGAGGTCGTGCCTATTTGGCAGTCAAAAGATCATAAATGAAGCCTGCTATTTGCTACTATCCCCATCCAGTTGTATATCCATCTTTGCAAAACTGTAACTTCAGGAAACTGTAACGAAACAGTGAGGAGTTCAATGAGGAATGCACAACTGATCACTGATAGATTCCAGTCTGCATGAAATCAAATCCTTCTTTATTAAAATGCGTAGGAAGTTCCAGGATAAATGAAAATTTGACACAAGAAAAATTGTACCCTATAAATTTCACTTTTGTACTCTCGATCGTCAAATGGAAGGAAGGTCCCCGAGCTGAGATGATTCTAGGTGGATCACGTGCACCTCGTCTAATGACTTAAAGAGCTTGGCAAATGGAGGGACATCTTGCAGGTGTTTCGCATTCCCAAGCATGATGAGCTTCTTTTTGGCCCGCGTCACTGCCACCGTGAGACGTCGATGGTCGCACCAGATGTCCCCATTGTTCCTCCCCTGCAATCATACCCAGCAATCATCTACTATCAAAATCACCTTCATCTTCCCCTTCATAAACAAATATAGTATACACAGATAATATAAATACTTTGCTTTCATAGATATACAGTGTTTCAAGTTTAATAATGTCTTAAGTGCAATATTTAACCTTAGAATTCTCACATTACAGATTCTTTGCATCTGATGTATTTTTAGATGTTCAAAATTTTACATAATCCCTTATTTTCCTGAAATGGAAAGCTATAAGAAATAGAACACATGGCTGGGATGAAGTGACAGACCGATTGTTTGGCGGTGGAGATGATGACGAGGTCCTTGTCCCGTCCCTGGTACTGGTCGATGGTGTTCACCTCCACCTGGGTGGGAATTTTCATTGCGAGGAGCTTCACCTGGGCCCGGTAGGCACTCATCACTCCCATATCCTCGTACTTCACTCCGCACTGTTTTTGAATGCAGGAACCCAAAAAGTTAGACAAAGAGAGAAAGGGAAAGCAGGCCATCACATCATTCACCATGTCTTACAGGAATACGTTAAACTTGACATTTGTATGAATGTGGAGTATTGGAAAAAAGGAGATGTGCCATGTGAAACATTATCTATTGATTTATATTAAATACTCCTAAAGTAAATATGAAACCAGATGTTTACTTTTGTAAGCATTTTTTACATTCCAAATGTTTCATTTAAAACTTGCTATTTGAAAAGTTTAGTACAGCAGCAGAGCAAGGTGGTCCTTTCCCTAGTCCTGACAACCAATCAACCCATGCACATCATTCCCTGGCATACACTTCCATTCTCCTCCATCCCTCTTCAACCTTCATTTCCTAAACATTTTTTCTGGTATCTTCTAAGTAGGTGCATGCAAAGAAGGTACATTGATGAATTGGTTTCTCTCCTGCTTATCGCTTTGCTAAGCCTGCTCCAACAGATGCAGGATAATAAATTTTACATGAATTAAAAATTGACAAGTATCCTCCTTTTTACTAATGTGGAAACCATCTGGCCAAAGTGCCACTCTCTAACCCCATTTATGACCTTGTTGACAATTGGCACCAAAACTTTTGAGGAGTGAAAGAGAATCCTTTGCACTGAATCCAACAACCCTTTATCCCAGGTCTCCTTTCAAAATCTCCCAGAGCCCCTCATTTCACCCAATGGCTGAAGAATGAAGATTGGAAATCTGAGCCTTCAAACTTGACAACCATAGCAGACTTGCAAAATGTTTTATTGTCTAGCAGAAAGCCACTCTAATGATGCTTATCCAGCCCCATGAATCAATAGAAAAACAAATACAGAAGGAAAATGAGCCCAGTCATATTTGTCCAGCAGTATTACACAGTGTCCTATAAAAAGGAATGCAAGTCACACCTCAGCGATGCTCCCTGATATACAAAGGAAGAGCACAAAGTCACAGGGGAATTAAGTCAGATGGAATGGGGCAGGTGTGGCAGGCATTTTCAACAGAAGTATGAACAGAATTTGCAAAGATAATAGCAGGCATAGGCACTGATACATTGTCATCTCCAGGAATTCAGCCATGAGAATGCAAATCAAAGACTTCCTTCATCACTTCATAATACTTCTACAAGATTTTGACACATACAAGGGTTGCTCAATAAGTTTCTGCAAAATATTTTTTAAATCTACATTAACAGTTGGATTCTCAAGAAAGTAACCATGAGTAATGCACACACCTTCATTAATCTGCAAAATAATTTCCATAGCTGTCAAAGCATTTCTACTATCTGGTGGCTAAAGAATGTATCCCCTTCTGGTAGAAGTCTGTTGGTTGTTGTCAGAGTCAAGTTGTGGTGGCTTCTTTGAGGTATCTGTTGGTGGAGAAGTGAATTTCCTGCAGGTGCTGCACCTTGCTTACAGCCCTGACTCGGCATCATCAGACCATCACTCCTTTGGTCTGCTGAAGCATCAACCTCAAAGAAGCCACCACCACTTGACTCTGACAACAACCAACAGACTTCTACCAGAAGGGGATACATTTTTCAGCCACCAGATGACAGAAATGCTTTGACAATGGTGGAAAATGTTTTGAAGAATAATGAATTAATGTACATCACTCATGGTTACTTTCATGACGGTCCAACTAATATTGTCCATTTTAAAAATTGTATACAGAAACTTATTGAACGACCCTCGTGTCGTACACCTCATCTCCTCCAAAAAGCTTTATGTAATGGAAATCATAATTCCAGTTGCAAAATGAGTTTTTGCATCAGTTGATGGCTGAGGACAAGTTGTAGATTTTGCTGTTGGGCTGAAAATCAAACCCCATGTGGATTGATGGCTTTCACACATTATGGAATATGCATGCTTTAAAGGCTGTGACCTGGTTTCCAGGTTGCACAACAGAATCTACAGCATTTACACCCACAATCTGGTACAAACATTTCTTAACCTCCAAGCAAAGTCTGAGCACAGTAGCATGTACTATCACATCCCTTTAGTCTGGCCTTATTCATATCACACCTTTTATCAAATCATGTTAATCATATCATGATAAATCATGTACGCATGCATCCCGAGGGCAACTAGACACTCTCGGTCACCCCATGCCATGGTAACGGACTCCAATTGTACCACTTCGTCCAAAATGGCCGACATCATGGTCTTCCACAAACGCTTTGCCTCGATCAGAGTGATTTGACAAGGTTGATGATTTGAAATGAGCAACATCTCTTGCTGGTTTACTGGTTTTCTCAACTAATTTCGTGCCTTGTTATGGGTTCATCGAAGATATTTCCAAAATGTTTGCCATTCAATCTCAGAAACTCGGGCAGGGCGATGCTAAAAAGGAGATTGCTAACAGCACTAGGACCTACTCGCTTTACACACACTATACAGTTTTAACCATCACTAATGGATGTTATGTATGAATGGATTCTCCTAACAAGAGGCAACTGCTGATAAACCTTGTACTACTTCTTAATTGCACTCGTATATACTACTGACTCCTTTTTTATGGCCATGTAGATAATTGTAGATAATTGTGAAAGGATCACAGACGATCGCGTCGTTTCAGTCCAAGGACTCCATCGCAAGATTTCTCTCGTGAAGACCAAGATGCCATAACAGAAAATGCTTCACTTACGAGACACAATATCGAGTACTTTCATTTATGTTTTCATACTTCTTCATTCCTAGACACTGCCTAAAACCGAGACGATTCAGTTTCCGCTTTCTTCGCTTTCAATTCACACATCGCCACACGAGTTCGTCCTCTTACCTCGTGGAGAGCACGAACGAGTCTCAGGGCAAGGTCGCACTCCACCTGGCTCCGGTTCTTCCCTCTCCCTTCCGACCCCTTGTCGACCCCCGCCGTGTCCAGGAACTTGACGGAATCTCTGAGTGCGGGACTCAGCGCCTCCTGCAGCCACCCGGGCTGTCCCGACAGCGCCTAAACACAATCATGCAATCAAGGAATCGATCCACAAACGGAAAAAGAGGAACCACACACATGAAAATGCCCTTGCAGAGACCTTCAGCCGCATACCTAAAACCTAAAGCCTACACCCTTATATATTTATGAGTTTCTCGGCAACCATGACACTAAACTGCCTGAAAATTTGAATAAATAGAGTTCAAATAGTCAGGAAACAGTTATTAAAATATTAGGCGGATCAGTTTGACCTGAACCCTGATTCATATCATTTAATGAAATGATCTCAAAATTATACCAAATGGTTTATTTTATCACCTCAGTTCAAACAAAAACAACAATCATTGCAAATAAGGAACAATCAGCGCATTAGTTTATCTTTGGAGACGGTGAGCAAAGTCGTTGACATCTTTCCGAAGAGGTTCCGTAATGGAGATAGGGCCTTTTGAAATAGGGAAGTAACTTCATGGGCACCCTGTATTTCGGTACCTTTTTTCATGAAAACACTCATCATCTCACTCAATATTTAAATTAACCAGTTATGTTAAGGTTTTTTCCATGACGATATCAGCTGTAAAAAGACATCTATTCGGTTCTCATAGTTACCTTGGTTGGAAATTGCCTCCCTTGCATCGGGAGAAGTGTGTCATAAATTAGTTTATCGAAGAAATTCATCATAAACGATTTTAAGAACTTCAGTCCCCGTGCCCAAAGGCTTAAGCGAACGTTAACGACCGGCCTTCTATCATCATAAATGACGAAAAATATTTATCGAGAGAGCAAATAACCTTTAGAAAAGATTCAACATCTCGACGGCATAGATGATAAACTCGAAAAGTCCCAGACTCGACGCGGGAACAGTCGAAAGCAGAACGGCACCATTCGTCGAGGTGGAGCACACAACCGAGGCGTGCGCTCCCCTCCACGTGGCGTTCTGCTTGGCGGCGCACAGAGGCCAGCGCGAGGCAAAGAGCTGCAGCGAGCGAGCCGGGGAGGGGGGGCCGAGCGGCGCGCGGTCTCCGTCGCACCCGAAGCTTCGCGTCGGCACGCCGCTCGAAACTGTCTCACACGACGGAGACGGCAGTACTTACGCTCCAACATCCTACAACGGCAGCATACGCGTCGACAAGTTTCATCCGACTCTCTTCCACCCGATCCTCCGAGCAACCACCGAATCCACACAAAGGACACAAAACTGAACACGAACCTCTCGCCGGACGGAGATGGTGGACCCCGCGACCGCAGGATCCCCGCACCGAAGCGTGCCGTCGTAGGTGACCCCGTTGGCAAGATCCAGGATCGCCGAGTTCATCCGGTACTGGAGGCCGAGGTAGGCCGTGTCCTCGGGCCGGTACCCGTGTAACCGGGCGAACAGCGACGAGTCCATCCCCTCGCCGCTGTCATGGGACACAAACAAAGTCGATTCAATCGTGAAATAGAAGACAGTTCGCGTTTTCAAAATCATGCAAATTTTTTTCAAATCATTGCAATTTTTTTGCAACAAAATAAAAAAATGTTAAATGTTCATTTGGTTTCATGAATGCTCATTTCTAAAAGCGAGATTTGCACTTGGCTTCTGAGTCCAGCCTTGCTTTCGTCTGGTCCCGGCCAAAATCAATTCGGAATAAAACTTGGAAACCCTCTTGGGAACATTTAGGTCTTAACACAGAGCAAGTTTGATGGCGACCGCTTCAGCTAGGACAGAGATGACTATCTTCAGTCTACTGCCATTTCTTGCAATGCGAGAAGATTCGTGCATGCCGTCGCTCAGTGTCAAGACGGTTGACAGAGACAGACAGAGACAAACCAACAGGGATATTTTTTGGAGTAGTGAACCAACTACTCCAACCTTCCGTACGACCTGATTACGTTTTTTAAGAGAACATTTTGCAAAAGCTAGTTATTTTCACATGGTCCTGTGCCGATAAGGTTTAGTACAGAAAGCTAAGAACTGAGAGGAATACATGTTTGAGTGATTGATTTTGATCAATCACTCAAACATGTATTCCTGTTGATTGATTTTGAGTGATGCTTTTTCAATCCTTCCTACTCCAGCGCCATCTTGATTGCCGCCTTCCGTTCAGCGAATGTATCACCTTCGTGCGGCACAGATGGAAGTAGAATACAAGATTTCGCAATGACTTTATCGAATATTTATCAATAAGCCTACTTTATATATAATATTTCAATAATTAAATTTTTTTTACATTTCATTAAAAAAAAGGGTTTCCGCTATCGCAAGAAGGAACACCTACCAATCATCCAGGAATCCGGTCGCAATCCGCACACGCAACTCGCAACCCGAGCAAGCCCGGGTATGGGCTCGCGCCGCCTGCTCCAACCGGGCCGATTCCCTTCGCCTCCGCACCCGACTCACGGAACCCAGAGAAACGGAGCGAGGCCGCACGAGGCAGACAACCGAACGCCACACCCGGCGACCCCACGCGCCGTCGAATCCCTTCGATCCCGGTCGAGTCTTTCGAGCACCGAACGACCGAGAACCCGACTGGCGGTGGTCCCGTTTGCGGTCGACGGGGAAACGGTCTCGGTTACCGTCCGACCTTCCCCCGCGTTTTTGCGGTCACGAGCTTCATTATCGAATCACTTTGGAATGCAGATTCTGAGGACCCCCTCCGGGCACGCTCGACCCGAACCCCATACAGAAACCCGGTGGAAGCGCCCCCGCCCCCCTCCCCCCCCCCCTCTTCGAAGGGCGGAACCCTTGATTCCCTCCACGAAACGGAAAACGGAGAGGCCTTGAACGGGGGGAAAAGGTCACCCGCTCACGCACCTCGCCCGACGGGAAGGTCCCGCATTTTCTCCCCCCTTCGATCACGCTCCCGTCACGAGGCATCACACAAGGATGACCTTTTCGATCGGACGTGAAGCCTTCGATCGTCGGCAACATGCAGACGCACCCCGGGGTGAAGCCTGCAGATCGTCAAGAATTGCGAGACCTTTCACGAAACCTCCGGCTTTCCCGAGGCTCGACACGTCTCGCATCGCGTGCATCTCGTATTTCCTTCGCGCAAAAGAAACCGAAGATCCAGGTTCCCACGGAGGGCAACAACTCCTCGGAGACGAACCGACAGCGGACGAAATCCGCACGCCCGATCGACCCCCAAGCCCCCGCCCCCGCATCGTCGCACCTCACGCCGAACGAGGAAATCGCACAAGATCGCACATCTCCCACCACGGACTCGACTTCGCACGTCTCTCGAGGGTCTCACGCCTCGCCCTCGCAAACGCCTCAGCGAATCGACGCAAGTCGTGAGCTCGGCCTGTCAAGCGATCGTAAAGGCAAGAGAACACGAGCCGATAGATTAATTATTGCAGTCGCGATGCAATCCTCTCGAATCGATGATACTGCAATATAAATGCAATAATTACGACCGATCTCATTTTCATAGTCCCACTCCAGCAATATTTCTTACGATAATAACACGCCAGAGTAAAATGGGATCCAAACGACAATAATCGGAATGGAACCACTCTCAGTACGCTCTCTTTCACGTAATCGCTTCTAATTTCAAAATCACACTAGCAAATCCAGCATCATATGCTCGATAAATCCAGAAAGTTTTTTTCACGACCATAACTTCCAATTTAAAAATGAATTCTTCCTGCAAGGAAACGAAAATTTCTCCTTCACTCTTCATTCACGCCCCACGTTCGCGACGATCGCGAAGGAGACCGCAGTTTGAACCGAGAGGAGCCATTGAAGGCTGCCGTGCGATTCTTCGGGGATCCTCGCCTCGAGCGAGGTCGAAGCCGATCACTAATTTTAGCATTTATTTCGCAATTCGGAGATGGATTCGGTCCCCCAGGACCGAGGGAACCCGGAGTCACCGGGGACAAGGAACGCCCTGGAAACGATCGGAACGAAATAGCCCGTTTCACCTACGGGTATGCATTCGTGGCAACGATGCGTACAAATTTTCCACTAAAACTGCCCTTCAAAATCGTGGCCGCAATAAATAAAAAAAGTGGCCCTCCAAAAGTCATCGCGTACTCTATATTGGAGTACAGCGCACTCGCGTCTTTTCATGCATTAAACTATATTTTCGACGCGTAGAGATAGTGTGAGGAAATACACCATGGGTCCTTATCTTTCGGGCAAACGACACCTTAAGGATGAGGTGCAGGAGCAAGTCAAGTCTCCCATCCGCTTCCTCACCCTCCCCGGCTGCCCCCGCCGTTCCGACGCAGATGGACGCTGGATCGAGCCGAGACAGCAGCCAACGACGGGTGTCGTTCTCCATCGCAGGAGGGACGAAGAGCGCGTCCGCTTCCCTTCGCCCTGCCGGATGAGACGACAAGATCGGCTGGGAAGTGGATACGAGGTGGGAGATTACGGCGGGGCGGGGCGGGTCCTTGAGTACACGAGTGAGGCCGGCAGTACCTCCACAGCTCCCGCTCCCGGCGACGTTCCAGTTCCGATCGTCACGTCGTGTCGAAATGGAATAAATGCCGTTCTCATGGTCACTGGAACCCTTCCTCGCGTGCAGAACCGAGGAAATTCCACGCAAGGACCGAGGAGAAAACGAAGCCGCAGCCCCGCGATTCCATCGAGCAATTTCCCCGATTCCTCTCTTTGAAGCGTCACCACGAGACGACCCTCTCGGTTGATCGCACCCAGACGAGACAGCAGGCGAGATGGCTCCGCCGAATCGCGGGTCGTGCGATTCCCTTCCGATCCCATACATATGAAAGTACCTTCCCTCTCGGAGGCGTTCCAAATCTGCACGCCAAATTCCTCCTGCCGGTGAGCAGATCCAATCGAAGCCATCTGCCTCTCCATCACCACGATCCCATTTTCCGCGCAGAAAAACTCTCTTCCATACACACTTCATCGACAATACAGGACCTCCAGGTCGACCTTTCGAAGACGACCGTGAAACACTGACGTGAACGACGCAACTGACGCTGACCATGTGATTCCTCACGGCCGCTTCCGTCTCCTCCGGACCTTCTCCTCGACCGAGGCAAAAGCCGGTCACATGAGGGTATCGGCGGATATTGGACAGTTTCCGTCATTAAGTCATTTAATCCATTTGGTAGGTTAAATGAATCCCAGGCTGAGAGCGGTACGATGCGAACGGGGCTCAGTACCGGTTAGAATTTTTTTATTCTCTCATTTGTATAGTCATGTGTCATCATAAATGTCTCAATTATGCACTCGTTGCAGTGCAGGTCATAAATTATCCCTGTTTATTTATATTAAAGGTGGCACCGTAAATAACGGTGGGCGAAAGGATTGTGGGCGATGAAAAACGAAAAGCGTAGGCGGTGGAGGAAAAATAAAAAGGAAATCTTGGTATGACAGTGGACATACGATCGAAAAAAAATGGAGTTGACAATTTTCGAGTAATTTACAGGCTGGTCCGGAAATACGTTTACATGGAAACTTAGCTAAATGACAAGATTGGATGCAGTATTTCCCCCGCGCCGCATCAGTCAACGAGGAAAAATTGAGTTTCCATCACGCTCCGCGTTCCTAATTCCTATAATTTCCATCCGGAGGGAAACAAGGATCGAGCGCAATACGACGAGGACCATGCACCCTAGACAAATTCCAGGATTTCCTCAAAGCTGAACGTCACCAATTAGGTTCGGACATATCTCATACGACCTGCTAATCAGTGATCGATGGACGATGCATCGAGCTGCAGGGCGATGATTCCACCTTCGCTGGACCGCATGTTCCTCCCGATGGATAGGCAGGGGCTCTCGGGCATGCGGCGAGTGTCCACCACCACAACCATAATTAGTCTTTCCATCCCCACTATCAGGCCGAAATGACACTCTCACGGGGTCAAGATCACAACCGCCCTTCTCCACGTAGCAATTAAGGGAGTTATATACCACGTATTCAAGGTTACAAGGTTGGAGGAGGAACTGGCGCTGCTGACATGCGACTCCATGGAGTCACTTCCTTCATACCTCTCCGTCGCCTCGCAATGGGGCAAGAGACCGAGGAAATCTTACACAAATGTGAAAATAGGCGCGATGGGCATTCGTCGGCGTGACCGTGGCGATGAGGCAACGAAATGGTTCTGTCGAATTACAGGCAACAGCAGGATTCCCATTTGGAGGAGATTTGGAGATTGGCCATTGGGATTTGGAATGCGGAAGGTCCTCATTGAGAAACATTAATTTGTTCCGAACTGGCAATTTTGGCTTTCGAGATTAGGGGTCACAAAATGTTGACCTCTTCTGGGCGCTACGATGGCTTTGCAGCTATCTGAGTCATTGCAGAAACAGGGAAGACATCACTCAATTCGGACCAATTTCAGCAATCGAAAGGCCCAAATTGTATAGGGCTGCACAAAGGCAAAGGCCAGAAAGCTGAAACCTCGTTTAGTTGGCGGTCCATTCAGAATACAAGAACTCCTATGGCAGAAAGGAAGAGCTCTTTTCTCTTAAAAGAACTCTTTTCGCTTAAAGGCCTCTTTATCTCGCCTAACTGAGGTTAATGCATTCAAGCCAAAGTGTTTACAAAGTGCAAAAATTACAGTGTTTCCCACAGAAAATCCTTGAAGCAATTATGCCAGTGCTGCAAGGAGCACAGTCGGACCCCCCCCCCCCCCCATTCCTCCGGGGGAGAGGGGGGGGATGAATTATGCTGCCCAAAAGACCGAGGGAGGAGGGTACTGGACGGCGGAAACTCATCTCCTGTTTGAATCATTCTTTTCCTTTCCCCCAAATTTTCGCCTCCTCCTATCCTACCGTGACGAGTGAACGTGCGATGAGGGGTGCTAGGCAGAGGAAACGCGCTCAATCACGCTTGCCGAGGGGGAGAGATTCATACGTGGCCGAGCTAAGGCATTGAGAAGGGAGGTGGATGAGATTATTGGGGGTTTAGATACAGGCCTAATCCTAGGTGGTGAAAGCATTTCGGGGGGGGGGGGGAAAGCGAAAGCGTGTCGGTCAGATACGCTTGCACGCATTGCTGCATCACATGGATCTCAAATTTTTTGGGTCCACGACCCTAAGTCATGGAGGCCGACAGCCTTCAATGTTGGTCCCCCCACAAATTGAAACTGAGTACATACTCCTTCACGCGGGCAGAAAAAATCTCACTTTCCGCTGTAATACACTGCGCATCAACTGAAGTGAATATTTTGTGTCTTGGTTATTTGAAGAATTCTGCTGTTACCTGCTATTAAAATGTGATACAAAAGAATATATGCTCTTAATTTGCAATTCTGTAGAATTTTAAATAATACAGTGAAAAGAAACTTCCTGATATTCATTTCATATTTGTTATTCATCACTGCCATTCGAAATGCAAGGAATTTTTCTTCAAAAATATTCAACAAGGTAATCCATCAATAGTTTTTCCCCTACGTCGGATAAGTCGACGAAGAAAAATTGAGTTTCCACCACGCTCCGCGTTCTAAATTCCAACGGACTTCTGAAAGGACATAAGGATCGAGGGAGACACGACGAAGACCGTGTACCCTAAACAAGTCCCAGGATTTCCTTGAAGTTGAAAGTCGCCAATTAGGTAAGGACATGTCTCATACGGCCTGCTAATCAGCGATCGATGGACGATGCCTCGAGGTGCAGGGCGATGATACCATCTTCGCTGGACCGTATATTCCTTCCTATTAAGCAATTAGCCCCGTGGGCAATTTATAGGGGGATATTGTAAATACAGGCCTTAATATTGATGGAGGCCGATAGCCCGCGACCTTCAAGTTTGGTCCCCCAGAAATTGAGAGAAATACATGAGAAGCACATGCTCCTTCAAGCGGTCAAGAGAAAAAAATCTTACTTTCCGCTGTAATATTACCGGTATTGAATATTTAAGAATAAAATACCGGTGATTCTGTCTGAACCATTAAAGCGGAAAGAAATTTTCAACTAGCACCTGTAAGACTTACAATATAAAGCTGGCAGACTTCAGGCCGTACGTATTTTTCCGAGGAGCAAACAAACAGTTTATAAGGGAGAAGCATGAAACGAAAGTGGAAAACAGAGTAAGTCTTGTTTAAAATTCACTCAAAACAAAAAAAACAGTGACTCAGCAGGGAAAATTACAATTCAGGTAGATTGCCCCATATACCACGAATGCCTTATACGGGATTCCGCAGCGGAGCGTGTTTAAATCGTGGAATTCTTTTGATCGCTGCGTCTGGACATGACATTCATTTCACGATTTTTTTCCAGCGCATCCACAAAAAAGATGCTGCGTTACTGGAAAAAAAAAACTAGGAAAAGGTAAACCAAAAAAAAGAGCCACTCAGTCTTCTAAACCGGCACGGACTAGCCAGCCTCACGCTGAGGCTCCCTATACTACCAGTAGCTCCACTTCCACCGAGCACAGCCGACTCTAAATGCGTCTGTAAACTCGCTGTACGGTGGCGACACCTGAGACGATAAGCGCGACTCATCCTCTCCTTCCAAGCATGCATGGACCGAGACCCCCCAGACCTGCGTGCGTCAACGAACACTCTGAGTGACCCTCATATTACAGCCATCCTAAATAGACGATATTTTTCAGTTAATTTCACTTCAACTTGGCATCCATCAATAAAAATCAGATTTACCTTCGCATAAAGGAAACAGAGCATCCAAGCACATCAAGATAAAATATATCGTTGTCTCCCGCTAGTGTTCGAAATCTGCACACCCAGTTTCCCCGCAAGCGTGCAAATCCAACTGAAGCCATCTGCTTCTGCATAAAAACCAGAATTTCTTAGCAAAAATTCCCGTGCGAGTCAACGACCCTTCCCTCACGTCGACCTCTCTAAAACGACAACGGTGCCTCGGTGTAGACAAGGTACGCACGAAAACTTGAGCCAGCACGGGTCGACTCCCCCCGAACCAGAACCGACCACTTTTCACCCGAGGATTCCAAAAACCGATGAGTCTCATTCGAATCCTACTAAGAAGGAACTCGCCGAAAACCTGCATACGTGGAATTGGGGGTTCCCCGACGACGGAACGCATCCCCTCTTATTGATCCAGAGTGTGGTCGTTCAAAATGTGCATTATTTGAATGCAATGGGATGGGGCCGATTAGCCTCAACTAGGGAGAACGTGGATTTTTTTTTTCCGGGTAATAACCAGTATGTAAATTATTGATAATATGATGAATGTGTTTCAGTGCATAAGAAAAGCTACCTTGGAGGGCAAAAATCTATTTAATGCTTTGGCAGAATTTCTGTAGACAATTATATTATTTTTAAAAAAATTTCTAAACCAATCAAACATGGTGCAAAGGTAAAAAGGTAAGTGGTGAATCCCAAATCTTAACAACTGAAAGCAATATTTTTCGTTATTGAATAGATAATTTTTAATATGCCTTTATTGGAATTTACAGATCGAGGTATTTATTGTCCTCAAGCAGATTGCTACATTGATCCAAGTAAAAGTGTCAAAAAGGCACTCATAACTCATGCACATGCCGATCATGCTAGGGCTGGACACACACAGTATATAGCAACACATCAAAGTGTACCAATCTTAAGACATCGGTTGGGCTCATTTATCAAACCCCCCCCCCCCCCCCAAAGTTATAAGCTACATAATGGAAGGTATAAGTTCCTGGAATACTTTTTTTTTAGGTACAACCCCAGTACACTGGTTTAAAGTCGAAGAGGCTTCGACTCGCGACGATGGAGACGATGAAGTGCTTCCATGCCATGGAATTTGAGTGTGATTGGCGGGTTGCTCGGCTTCTTCCTTCACAAAATTTGACGTCGTTCATGTTGAAAACCCTTTTTGCTCCCCTAAGGTCCCTTCCCCCACGCACTGACACGTATGTTCAAATATTCCGCCGCTTTACTGGAGTTTATAGCGACAATTAACTACGAAAGCACGACTCGTAAATCGAATTTCGTACACAGAATGGAGGGCTGCAAATAACAACTGAAAACTTGTTTCCCTTCTATGCCAAACACGATCGCCAAATCGAGATTCCTCTTAAGCTGCACGTCGCTAAGGAGATTATGTGCCTCAAAGGTCTTCGTTCTGCGTGATATAAAAAATAATCGATTTGGCAACGCAATGCAATTTAAAATGATTGCATTCAACTTCTTCAAATTTGCAAAATTGTGCTTCTCTTATTCCAGTTCTTTCGTTCTGTCTCATTTAGACGTGCATTCTTTGACCATCGTTTTAAAAAAAAACACGAGGGGACATGTAGTACGAGAAATAATTACCTGGACAAATTTATTTTTTACGTAAATAGGTGTCACAGAGGAAACCGAGATGAAAACCGTACTAGAGGGGCCACGGAAACTGCTCCTATCACCCAAGTGTCGAAATTCCCGCAGAGCATTAGGGAAACAGATGATTAAATCATGCGGGGCTGCATGAGGCAACCCCGGCCGCAGTACCCAAAATAGAAAACGGAGAACGAGAGACCTCGACATTCTTGCCAGGAATTGAAGGGCACGAAAAAAAAAATCGGGGGGGGGGGGGGGGGGGG